AATGATTTTATAACCAGACAGTCACGTCAATTGAACAGCTGCTTCGCAACACTTTCAATTTGCCGTTGTTTTTCTTTCTTTCTTTTTTTTTTTGGAGTTCATAAGGAATTTCGTTTTTCAATCTTGGTTACCGTATAAATGGTTTCTTCTTCGGGCTCCAAATTCTGCAGTTTTACAAAAGCACACTATTAGAAACATCATTTAGTTAAGCCTAAGGAGGTCGATAAGTGACAAAACATTTATAAGACCCTCCTCCCCCCCCCCCATAATTAAAATGCCAAAGATAAAACACGATTTATTTTCTTTATATCATTTATAGGTCATTCGCACAAAACAACAATCAGTTAAAAACCTTCTATGAATTGATTAATAAAAAATTCCTGCTATGTTTATCCCTTCTTAATTAAAATTATGATAATTAATTAGGACATACTTTATCTAACCTTATGAAAACATTTACATGTGAAATAAATATGTTTCTTTTTTAAAAGAAGGCAGGGTATCACCTACTTAATTAGTCTCATTGATGAAATCGAAAAAGGGAGTACTTGATAGTGATGTCCGTCCGTCTGGACCACGCCTTACATAGGTCATTGTCATATGATAAATTATTTCGACTTTAGATTATGCCCCCAACCTTCCTTCTAAAATCTGTGTCCGCCTCTGAACCCTAAATAAATTTCAGTTACGATTCATATATATTTATATATATATAATCTTTATTCACAAAAGGTTACAAACCCATGAGTGTCATGGTATACAATCAATCATTTTATAATAAATATAGGTCAATGGTGACATATAACAATGACATATAACAGTCTCTAAAAGTCATGTTATATTTTAGTTTTAGGTACACATTTTATGTAACAATTCCTTAATACAATTAATTATGTTGCATGCATATAGCCTTTAAACACTAAAAAATAACTAGACCTATCACTGAAGGTGATTAATACCCCCACCAGCAACTTTGACTTTTTGAAATAAAAGTAGTCTGAACATAAACTATCAACTGTGTACAAAGAAATATTTCAATTAATTGTAATAGCAACTGGGGTCTCAAAATAAGCTTGCTATACACCAAGTTTGATTACAATATCTCATTCCTAATTCTAGTTACTGTCCGGAAACCATTTTTCTATTTTTAGTTACACTGTAACGGTAACATTGACCCTAGGGGATCCAAATGCAGTACAAACCCAGGTCTTCATATAAGCTTCCTATACCCCAAATTAGATTACAATATCTCATTCATAACTATAGTTATTGTCCGAAAACCATCTTTCTATATTTCATAACCGTGACATTGACGTTGACCCCAGGGGGCCCAAATGCAACACAAACCAAGGTCTTCATATAAGCTTGCTATACACCAAGTTTGATAACAATATCTCATTCATAACTCTAGTTATTGTCCGGAAACCATTTTTCTATTTTTAGTAACACTGTAACGGTGAACTTAACCCTAGGGGGTCCAAATGCAATACCAACCCAGGTCTTCATATAAGCTTCCTTAAAATTAGATTACAATATCTCATTCCTAACTCTAGTTATTGCCCAAAAACCATTTTTCTAATTTTCCTTACTGTGACCTTGACCCCAGGGGGCCCAAATGCAATACCAACCCAGGTCTTCATATAAGCTTGCTATACGCCAAGTTTGATAACAATATCTCATTCCTAACTCTAGTTATTGTCCGGAAACCATTTTTCTATTTTTAGTAACGGTGACCTCGACCTTGACCCCAGGTGGCCCAAATGCAGTACCAACCCAGGTCTTCATATATGCTTGCTATACGCCAGGTTTGATAACAATATCTCATTCCTAACTCTAGTTATTGTCCGGAAACCATTTTTCTATTTTTAGTAATGGTGACATTGACCTTGACCCCAGGGGGTTCAAATGCAATACTCTAGTTATCGTCCGGAAACCATGATGGGGACCGACCGACCGACGGACCAACCGACCGACAAGCTGACTCCTATATACCCCCCCCCCCTAAACTTCGTTCGTGGGGGTATAAACATAAGATAAATTGCATTATGGTTAACCGGAAGAAACTTAATACTTCACAATACCACCTGAACTTGTGATTAAATACATTACAATCACATATAAATATGTATGTTTTACTAGAAGAAACTTAATATTGCATAATATAACCTTAAAATCAAATACACATGTGCATTGCACTTACATATAAAATGTATATTTTTAAGTATTGAATGATTAAATAAAATAGGTTTATAAATATATCCTTGTAAAAATGACGTTGTAGGAGAAAAGTGTGAATGAAAATATTTTTAAGAAAAGTAAATCGGTGTACGGATTTAAAAAGCTTTATGAATAAAAGTAGACAGTTTTCTGATCATAGACGTCGATTAGTTTGACATAAATTCGATAAATTTAGGTATGTTTGGTCTTTTCCAGTAGTACTTTGGTAAATACTTAGTACTTATTTCTCAATATAAAGTACATTCTAATAAAAAATGGTATTCATCCTCGAGTTTGTTACATATTATACATTTTCTTTCATTTCTAGGAATTTTGTTTGATTTATGCCATCTCCCTGTTTCGATTAATAACCTATGTGCTGAAACTCTAAATCTTGTTAATGCTATTCTAAATTTCTGAATATTAATTTGTTCAAGATACAATTTACAATTAAAGTTTGACAAAAAGAATGTAAAGGGAAGCTCTTGATGAATTGCGTAGAGATTCTGTCCAGTTTTGCATTTAGCTTTCTTTAAGTCTCTGTTTTACAGAGTTCAAAAATGAAATTTCATTTCCCACTCCATGATTAACCCAAACATAATAAAACCCTAGTATCTGAAGTAATTGTTTAATTGAATTAGCCCAACATTTATAATTTGGTTTTTGTTCTATATTAAAGATCATCATATTGTAAACCTTTTTAATGTACAAATGTTGTTCCGATTTCAATATTTTAAACCAAAATTTTAAGATTCGTATCATTCTAAGCTGTATTAATTGTTCTCTGCCTAATTCTCCATAAACGAAGTTAATTAGAGTTTGTAGCCTTACTCCTAATTTCAAATTTTAAATGTATATTTTCTATCTTTTTTGCTTCCATGAAACCCCATACCTCGCATCCATATTCAAATGAACGTTACTGTTTTAACAATACATATTCGATTCTTTCAATTCAACAAACACTTTTTATGTATTTAATACCTTCATACAAAAATCGTGGGTAGTTCATGTGCCACTAATGAATTAAAATATAAGCGTTAAACTTACAAAACATGAATCAAAACCTCAATGATTATGATTTTCATTTGACCTATTTTATGTTATAATATTGGCAAAGCTCAGATACATAGGTATGATACATCATAAACATTCCATGGTTTAGTACTTAGCTTATAGTACGTATCCGTTTTATATGAATGCATGTATACTTGTATACTACCCAAAATTTGATAGGAGTAGCTTTATTAATACATGTAGATTATTTTAATGAAATAATGACCTGACCAGGAGATATTAATTTAAAACCTGTTCATGGCTTGATATCCACAGGAAAAATGATATCGATACGCAAAAAAAAAAAAATAAAGATCAACAAGGCAAAGGCATCGTTCACAAGACGCGGCCCCCCGACCCACCCAAGTAGGGCACCCAGAAGGCAAAGCGTGCGCCAACGGCATGTATCTTCGTGTACACATCCGTTATATTTATTTCATAGCTAGCATAGGGTAGGGCTTATTTACGAATAAAGACGGCGTCTTGACGCCGAGAAGATGAATAAGGCCACATGGATGCTTGAGGTTTGGCGTTCCCAATAGCATGTAATAGGTCACCTTGGGGTGTCCCAGAGCATGTTGCATGATGTGTAACGGTTTCGAACTCCCGGAAATGTCAAGCATAGAAATGGAGTTGGTCGTGAGAGGGTCATCCCTCGATGTTAAGACCTTTTTATTATTAGCATGCAGAAAAAATGAACTTTATATCGTTCAAAACGGCACATTGACGACTGCACAATACATGTACATCAATGAGATCTTAGATGTGTATGTCCGCCAATTCCACAACTAAGCATTTAAAGGATTATTAGCATTAAGAGAAGGCGATACCGAGCAGAAATTCAAACAAGCGGACACCACACGCGAGACTTAACGAAATTCAGTCACCCTACTTATATTTTTTTAAAAAGCCTCATTTTATACCTTAGAACAAATTTTCAGGATCACAGCAAATATTTAAACGTTTAAACTTATGTAAGAAATAATCGCAATCTTACATACTTTAGTGTAGTATATACATATTATACATATACTATATCAAAGCTTATCATATGTAAATTACAAAGTATTGTTCGCCGCCTGAGAGTACTTTTTAAACATTTCATCATAGCTAGCATTAAGAATGTCAGATGGGTAACATCAATAGTAGATTTAGAAACATGTTCTCGAATTAAATGTTGGGCTATACATTTATTTAGAAGTAGTATCGTCAAGACATTATATATCTGTGTAATATTCCATACCATTTTAAGTTTATTCATGATTTCATTCCAAACAATTGTCCAAACAAGATAAAATGTACAACGTCCTCGTTTGTATTTAAACATGGTCATTTGTTAAATATTTCATTTATAATACAAAAACAGATATTCACGTTATTTGCTAGTCACGGCATGTACAAAAGCATTTACAGTTTGCGTACATTGAATGACTTGGATTTTATTTGCTTGGAGTAGGTGTAATCCTTTGTTGAAAGTACAATAGTGATCACGTGCTACATTGATAAACAGCTGTTATGTTGTTATTATGAAAGCATATGTACAGTCCGATACTGTTAAAGTAGCACAACATAAGCGTTATATAAATCCAGACATCTGGACCGGAAAAAAAAATTTCCTGCTACCGTTAAGTAATACACTTGTTCTACTTTATAGTTTTTAAGGTCAATTATGAATTGCATAAATTGCTGAATTATTAATGTGACATTCATAAATGGAATACGCATATACAAGGGTGGATAACGGGAATATTTTTATTTTGATATTATTTTTTTGATGTTTTGGACATCAAATAGATGTAGGTTTATACCGTAGCCTAAAAAACTGTAATTTTGGCCGTAGTGACTTAATATTTGCAGAATTGGCGGTTACTACAAATCCGCAAAAGTTTGTCTCCGCGAAAATGCCGACGTTGTGAAAAACGCGAAATATTGTATCCGCGAACATGTCTAGGAATATAGTATTCAGTAACATTTAGAATTAATTTATGACTTCACATATGACTAAATATATTTATATAGCATGTAAATAGTGAAATGAAATGCTCCCATAATTTCAATCAATCAGTTATTACTAATATGGATGTTTAATATTTTTACTAATACAAACCAGTCTATTTTAATGATGGTTAAAAGCACCTAAAAAGCGAGTTTTACAACTTTGTGCATGAAAGATCTTATTTAAAGAGGCTACATATGGGAGTTTACGATTTAAATGAATAAAATGATGTAGCATTACATTTTTAAAGTTTCGGTCACTGATATTCTTCATTTTAAATGAAAAACGAAAGATTATACCGACTTTGATAAATTAATATATTATACAGTGATATAATTAAAATATTAACCTATTTAACCGTCCACAGTATAAATTACTGAAAAGCCAAAGAGCGCCCCACGCCTCGTCGTATATGTGATAGTTTTCAGTTGATATCTATTTGTCAATTTGGTAATAGAGAAAGAATGAAGCGGTTAGAATTTCACGTTGCGGACTACGTTGTTATGCTATTTTTCTTAGCAATATCTTCTGCAATAGGTATTTATTATGGCTTTTTCAAAAAACAAAGGACTACAGAGGAATATATTCTTGGTAACAGACAAATACATCTTGTTCCTGTCGCTCTGTCTTTGGCAGTTACCTTCCAATCTGCATCATCTATAATTGGATTACCAAGTGAAGTATATTTATATAACATTATGGTGTTCTATATAACATTTGGAATTATGCTCGCGAATTTCGTGCAGGCATTTATCATTGTACCGTTGATACATCCGTTAAGATTGACCAGCGCTTATGAGGTAATGTTTTCACTTTCTCTTTCTTTGCTTATTCCTGTTAGCATTTTGGTATTTGAATTATACGGATGAAATTTTCTTTATGTAAAAACATTTAATAAGGAATTGTCTGGAATAGGCGATTAAATGTGTAAAAATATTTTTAAAGGTAGGATGCAAAGTTCTTTACGTTTTTGTATATATATTTCGTAATATTTACAGTATCTATTGCGTCGTTTCAAGTCTAGAGGTGTCCAGCTGCTTGGCATGACCATGGGTATGCTGCAAACGGTAGGCTCATTATTTTCTAGCAGTACTTTAGATACATTCATAAGAAATAAGAATAAGATATATATGTATAATATGAGAAATAAGGGCGACATTCAAAAAACGCATCAGTAACAAATATCTCAGCAAGCCACCAAACATTTGATACATTCCGGTAGTGTGTTCAGATTAAAGTTTAATTTTCATTGATCATTCAATGCTGATAATAAAGTTAGGAAATAAGATATATTAGAAACTGAATTAGAAATATGTAAGAAAAATGAAATGATATGAGCTTAAAGTTATGAATATCCATATAACTCAGTATTTTTTCCACTTTTTGTCTTTTAAAAGTTGTCTTTTATTCACTGTACCATGCATATATTATTTTATTCAGCTTCTTTATGTTAGTGTTGTGCTGTATTCTCCAGCTCTAGCACTTGAGGCAGGTAAAACCTTTAATTGTTTGCCCCTTTTTTAATTAATTTTGATTGACATTTTAATAATGATATTGATCCAATATGATAAACAAGATCAACAAGGAAAGCCGGCGTTCAATAAACGCACCCCCATATGACCCAGCAACAAGAACCAGTGGCAAGGAGCCCAGGCGGACCCCAAACAAAAAACAGGGCAGGGCAAAGACAAAGGGCAAAGGTTTGCATTTGAGCTTTTCAAACACAAAGTTATTAGCTTCACAAAGCTCATGTCATTTGTCAGGTTCAAAGCATTTAAAAACAGTTAATAAATGAAAAACGAGCGATATGTGCAGGTATTTGCTGTAATTTCACTGCTTATACGCCTCAATAAACACGTCCGTCTGATTGAAATCAGAATCGTAAACAAGATTCTCATTTGTAAATAATCATTATGTTATAAACAGTTTTAAAGGAGTTTTAAGAATTATCGTTTTATTATAGCTAACACCTTTTAAAATGATAAATTATCGTTAAATTGCAAATCATTTCAATACAACGATCTTTACTTTAAAGCTTAAATATTTGAATAATCAAATAGATCTAAAATGTTTTAATATTATAAAGAAATGCTAAAATATCGGTTTGTTTAACGAAATAAAATATTGTTTACCGGATGTGCTCTGTCTATGCATAGTATCTGATATGTCCATTGCAGTTGCAGGGATCCCAATCTGGTTATCGATTGTATTAATAGGGTGTATAGGGACTGTTTATACATCCATTGTAAGTCTTTTATTGATTAATTAGAATAAGCTAGAAAATTTGCTGCATTTAAAATTGTTACCTTGAAGTTTAACTATTTTTCATAATTGTTTCAACCATAATTGAATCGTAAGCAGCATAGTGTCATTTTGTCAAAGAGAACACTTGATGAATAATATATGTTAACAAAAAAGAGACGGAGCATTGCGTTTCTCTCTTCGTAATATTGCAAACTGACCAAACGTGGCAAATTGACGTTAGCATATTTAAGCAAAACGATAGTTCAATGTAACTTCAAGCCTAAAATAGCACTATTGCATTTAAAAGTACATTGTTTTTAGGGTGGTATGCGAACAGTGATATGGACGGACGTATTTCAGTTTGTGATGCTGTATGGGGGTATAACTGTCATACTCGTGCTTGTAAGTTTCATTTATTTATCGTCTACAATGTGTGTTTATAATTTGCAACGTTAAATTAAAATACTTTTGGAAAGGGGAAATCCTTTTGGAGCAATGGAACAAACAAACTGTTGAAACAATTAAAATGTCGCAAAGTCGGTTTATTTGCGTGTGTTTGTGAGGGTTGATAGAGTGCAACATCTCTTGAACGCGTGTTCATTTCCTGAGTTTATTTCCTTTGAGTTTTAGTTGTTGTTGCTGATATGTTGTTTTTGCAGATAAACCGTAAAAATATATGTCTTGTCGTGATGACCGCCGTATGAACACATCTGCGAATGTTTCTAAATTCATGTATAAATGTTGAATACTGTTAAGCCTATTCTAGGGACGTGAACGGTAGTTTGCAATTACCACTTACGTCAATGAACTTGTTTTTCTTTCCTCAGGGATTTTTTTCTCTATTCTATAAGAATTAATTTCTTTTTAAGGAAAATCAAATTCAATACAAGAATGAAAAAATCTAATGATATTCAGAAGACAAAACATGTATAAAATATGAGTGTTAATGGATTCGGTTTTGATTTTTCAGGGCGTGTCTAAGATAGGGAGTTTCTCGCATGTTTATGAGCTGTCGATGAAAGGCGATCGCCTGAAATTTGATGAGTATTAACATACACTATTTCATATTGTTAAAAGTGCACACTTTTGTTCAACACCAGCCTAACAATGTAATTTAAAGATAATGTTGCGCATGGATTGTGCAAATTGCTGGTAACGCCAAAAAAGCCAAAAAAACTGAAGTAGTCAGTAAAAGTGGCTAAGTTTCCCCCTCCCCCCAAGGGAATAGTTCGCAGGTTATACTTTTGGTTTTGCTATGTACCGCAGCATAACAACGCTGCTGCATTAGAATTTTCTTTGCGGACTTTATCAGATTGATGCTGAAATGTGATGATGCACCGTATAGATAGAAGTGATCTTCTTCGGGCAGTGTGAGCTTCAAATTAGAAATTAAGATGCTGTTCGATAAAGCCGATTTTATGGAATGCAAATCAAGCATTATAAATCGTTGTTTATGTAATGACTGCCAAAAACTCTCCTTACCATGATTTTAATCAACACGCTAAGCAAAACCTGTTATCTCTTCCATTGAATATGGAATAAAATTTAACTAAAGAGTCAGTTTTTCTTTAAAGCTCTATGCAATTTTACACCAGTATTAGCATTTAATGACACATTGTTGTTTACTCTGTAAGAAAGGAACATTCGGGTACGTTAAAAGTTCTGGTCCTCTTAGTTCACATTTGCTCTTTGGGCTCAGTTGAGTTAACATTTTTCAGGAACTACTGTTTCAATCATCAGTGCCATCAGATTGGGCACTTTCAATAGGAGGACTCAGATGACTATTACTGGGTCATTATGGGCGTCTTTCTTTTATTGATTTAGTTTTTAGGCACATGTTGTTTGTTACAACTTTAATCCATTCCAAGGTTCTTTGACTTGAAACCAATTCCTAGTAATTCTCCGGCCATTTGTTGAACGGTCTAGTGGTAAAATTACCACTTAATGCATTCGCCCTCTTGTTATGAACTTACCATGGCAATTTCTGCTGCTACATGTATTTAAAATATACAATCACTAAAGTGTCTAAAAATACAAAAAGAACAAGCTGTGCGCTCTGCTACGCCATGAACTCCTCTATGCCTCATGGGGACGGTTTTTTAGTGAGGACAGTTTTGAATAACATCAAATAAAAAGGAAGTTGTGAAAAATGTCAATGACACAAACTAACAAAAACACAAATTTCGAATGACAATGTCAAGGACCATAACACTGTCATTAATATACATTTGTATGTGTGTGCACATCTCCACATGCATGTGAAAGTTGGCATCGTCACGGTCATCAAAGTCAAAGGCATGTCCATTTTAGAACTTAATTTATCTAACTTCCTATTTAATGATAAGTTAATACCCTTTATGCGGCAAAATATTGCACCCCATATTCGCAATATTTGGTTTATATGTGATGTATTGCCTCCTTGTTTATTTGTTGAATACCTCAGTATGAAAATTCGGTCACGTGTATGAGGCAGCAGTTAACGGTATTCCGTAGTTTTATGCGACATTACAATGCGTGGCTCGCCCAACGCTGATGGCGACGAAGTATTATATGTACTTTGTGTGATAAGCAGGGAAGCTGAATGATGTAATGTTAAACAAAGAAAATTGGATCATAACTTATTTTGGATAGAAAATGTAAATAATGTTATACTTTTACCGTTTTTATTTCTTTCTTTTTTATCACGACAACTTCCGGATATTTGCCGGTTTGCTATCGCAGCATTGTTGCAATAACTCATGTGATATTGTGACATGATTTTATGTCGTCGATCTATTTTTGAAATGGAAAAGTAAATTTAAAGCTACATTACTAGAATGTGTAATGCTTAGAACCATATTGTATAATATTGTTTGATTGCATTGATGCATCGTTTTCTCTTCATGCAATGGACACTTATCGGTAAACGAATATGTGTAATTCCTTTTCATGCCAGAACTCTTCTTAAAGGAAAATTATATATATAACAATACAATCATTTTCGTTTAGGACTGACCCCGACCCTCGGATTCGTCATTCTGTCTGGGGATGTGTTATAGGTGGTATGTTTAACTGGCTGCCTAACTGTTGTAACCAATCTGCAATTCAAAGGATATCCTCTGTACAAACAAAGAAGCATGCTCGAATGTAGGTATTCTGATCTTAAATGTGAAATCCCACCGTAACTCAACAATTTGTTACTCAAAGTAACATAAAATTTAATGTACTCATTATAGCATAACCCATAGTATCATAACACTTATTGAACTCATTGTAACATAACACTAAATCTACCCTATTGCCACATAACACTTAACGTACTCATCTTACATATTACTTAAAATACTCATCGTTACATTTCATGCAATGTACGCATTGTAACATAACACTAAATGAAATCATATAACCTAATGTTTAACGTACTCGTCGTAACGTAACACTTAGTAGTGCGTTCTCATCGTAGTATAATACTTATTGTACTCATCATAAAAAACTTTTTTTATTTCATCGTTTAACCTGCAAATATCATCTAGTTCTTTGACGATAACATTTATCAATTTGCGTTGCTGTTTATTTGTTTCCAAATGCATTCATTTAAATGATTTTCTTGGCTTAGATATATGTTATACTTTGTTGATGTTTCAGGTATACATGCATGTTTTGTTTATTTTATGAATATTATTTTTTCGTCATTTTATATTTAGTGCCACACTTCTGAACATTCCGCTTGATTTTATATTTACATCTATCCTGATTCTGACTGGACTTGTTTTGTACGCCTACTTTGTTACACAAGCTTGCGATCCGTTGGAAAGTGACAAAATTTCAAATCCAAATCAGGTGAGTTAATTAAAACCATGTTTGCTGATGTATATAAGACTTATTTAGCACAATAGATTGTTAAACATACGTCTCAGTGTACTCGTATGTACTGGTAAAATATTCTCTATGTTTTCTGTATATTCTGTATGAATTATTTCAACAGTGTGACTTTGTGAAATTTTAAAAGAAATTATATCGGAAGGTTTTGTTGTCGTTTTTGAGTTGTTGCTTTTTCAGTGTCAATTGATAATACGTATACACTATACGTATATCTATGGTGTCAAGTTGCGGTCATTTTAAAAGAGCGAGAATTATTATCATATTATCACGTATTATCATAACTTGTCGCGGGCAAAATACAAACACACGATAATTCATGCCGAAATCGTACAAAAAATGTTGCGGGGGCTTATATACCTTGATATTTTATAACAGTTGTTGGAAACAGCATGGAACATTTTGACTCCAGTGGTCTTTGACACTTCATTTTATCCCTCGTTTGTATATAAAAAGTCAAGGACCAGAAATAAATCCGCGACATTTTTGCAAGTGTTGTAGAATTCTACAAAAGCCATGGCCGCGACATTTTGTTCCTTATCAGAGGTCTAATAAAATATCGGGCGAGTAATAGCAAAAATCAGCCCTCTTTTTGCCGACATAAAAAGTCGAGGCTTCATGCTCAAATTCGACTTTTTACGAGGTATGCATCACATCGCGGATTATAAAGGCCGCAATCTGCTACATAAAATAGGCATATGTTTGCGTGGCTTAGTCTTCTATGTAGACATAAAATGTCGGACTCGACTTTTTACGACAGAAGTGTGACAGAAAATCTTGAGAGTTCTATAAGCGGCGACATTTATACAATTTAGACATAAAAAT